CTGCCCATGATGAAAAGCCACGGGATATTTAGAATCACTTTTTAACAGACATTTAAGTGAGCATTCAGAAGTCGTATTTCAGGCATTATGCAGCTCAAAACGTTAGAAAATGAACCGTGCTAAAGTCCACGTAAGCTGGAACTTTTTGAAGTTCAGCTGAAGCTGAACATCTCTGAAGACAATTTGGCAAAGAAGCAGGGAAGCGTTAGACTCCCAACTGTTTGGATCCCACCAACTTTGCTCTTGCAAGCCCTGTTCACGCAAGGCTGCACCTCACCTTCCAGCACTCAGCAAAATGCCAACTGTGACAGGCAGAAAACATTGAAACCATCAAAAATCTGATGTTTGTGGCTCTTGGGTCCTGTTGTTTACAGGACTTTGGGTGGCCTGGCCAGAAGTCCCCTTTCCTGCAGGATCTCCAAGAGGTACCATGTCCTGGAGAGGACAAACATACTGTGACTTGGGATGAACCACGGGAATGACAAGACATAAGGAACGCACGCAGTCGGGGCAAATTCTGTACACGCAGAACCTTCATGGCAGAGTCCAGCCTCCAATAGGTTGAGAACGTAAAGCCTAAAGACAGGCGACTACTTCTCAGGACCCCGGCTGGCTCAGCAGTTCGCAGTCCTTTCCAGCCACTCGCTCCAACATGCCAGTCACATGTTTTACAGAAACCTAGATTTCTATCTTGCTGACAACTTTATTGTACATTATTCTGGCAGGTAACCAAACCAAGGTTGATTCTTTTCAGCTCAGCTGAGCTAGATTTTATCCTCTGAGATCCCAAAGATCCACATCCTGCAGCAAAGCCTTCCCTTCCTCCTGGGGCTGCTATCAGGCTGAAGTGTCTTTACTTCTGTAATAACAGACTACGAAGAGAAGCACTGAACAGAAGTCACCAACAGCAGTCTGCATCCTCTCCCCCACTCCCTGTTTAGAATAAAGGTCAGCAGGTCTCCTTCCACTCCTGTGCACGTATCCTGTCCTCACCGTCAGAGCTGACAGCTCAGTCAGCCTCTTCCAGCAGCTGCCCAGCGCTCCGCTTCAAACCCAGCACGTCCGTTCAAGGCTGCAAACGTTCACTTAGTTTTCAAACTGAAGTCACACCCCCACTGCTTTATCCGGACTGCCTGTGGTACTGCTTGGAGAGGTCTCAGAACAGCCACGGAGTAGATGAACAGTCCTGAAGAGCATCTTAACAGCTGTAGGAGGACCAGAGCTCAAACTCCCTGCCCACACGGGCAGCCCAGTCCCTGGGACAAGCATGGCTCTGCCCTCCACGTGCAGATCTTCGTCGTGCCCGATCATACACAACCCCATGTTCACCTTCACAGCCCTGGGTGAATGACAACTGTCCCACTGCAGCAGCTCTAGCTGCACAAGAGAGCTGGGAACCCATTTTTTATTCTGACACAGGAACAGCATTTCTCTCTCTCCCTCATCAGCTCAAGGTCCAGCTCTCAACCCCCAAACAAACAGCTGCTTCACATATTTGAAGTGTCTGGAAAGAGCAATAAAACTATTTTTCCTGAAAGCCCTTTGACACCAGCAGGCCACAGCAAAGTCACAAGTATAACTCGGTCCTGCAGCCATGTAGCCAAGATCAGGGGACTGGAGCTCCCTCCATGCAGACAAGAGCAGCACTGGAACCCACCCCCACCCTGTCCCAGCCACTTCCCCACTCCAAAAAGCCATGAAGGATGTGGACTGGAGGACACAGACCGAGTCAGCTCCATTTTTCTGGCATCTCTGCCATAGACAGGCAATCAGTGGATGGAAAAGGGAGGCCAAATTTCCGCATTTGAAGAAAAAACACAATTTGCATCTCACAGAATAATCAGTCTAACTGCCACCACCGCCTCTCTCCCTCCTGATAAATCATTAGCCCTGAGTGTAAGCACAGAAACACACAGATCCGCAAGAATGTGGCATTTCCAGGCTGTGCTAGACCTGCTGTTCATCTCACCCAGATTAAAAAGGTATCAGCAAGCGGCTGAAGTTTTCCAAGTCAACTAAGTTTCACTAAACACCACTGTCTTTAAGCATACTTAAAGACCTTTCATCAAATCCAAGACAAAGTTTGGAAAGGAAGGTGCTCAGCAGGAGAAAGGCTCATACAGCAGGTCTGCCTGGAGAGAATCACCCCAAAAGACTGGGTAGCTGCTCATTGAAACCAGCATCAGGTTTGCTTTTGATACTCCAAAAGAGAAAGGGACATTGGTTTTACCAAAGGACTGCAGTTTCCAGCTCACATGAAATGTCTGCTTCTGCCCAATTCAGGACAAAATCAAGTTTCTGAAAACCCCGACGTATCTACAAAACAGAACCCTTGTTTTTGGCCGGTTGCCTTGGCGACACACAGCAATCTCTTGGGAAGAAACCAAGGAATGCATCCTAATACTAGCTCCTTCCTTTTCAGGCATCAACACTCAGCCTTATTACCCAGAGTAAAAGCCACAAACATCCTCTAGGTTAAGAGTAAACAGAAATCTTTCCCTTTGCTACAGCACCATCTTCTAAACCCTGGCTACAAAGTCACACTCCATGCTTGCCGCCTCTAGCGGGAAAAGAACTGAAAGTTTCTGAAAGTGGGAACTGTTTCTTGAGGGAGAATTGCTACATTTAGTTTTACCCAGAAACTTGTGACTCTACGACTTCTCCTTAAGCAGGATCTTACTTTCTGAAGGGTCCCCGTTTGTTTCAGCCTCCTGAGCTCTGCAATGTAACAGGCAGTTCCTCCTTTGCCTTTTAATATCTCTCTTCTCAGAAACCAGATCTTTATGCAAGTTCTCATGCAGGACATCCCCCCCCTCCAATTCTTAGCGAATGCTGTAACAGTTGTATATTCCCGTGCAGTATTAGCACATCTTCAGGTGCAGAGTGGGGTAGTTAATGCCATTAAGCTGATAAGAACACAAGTGGAGAAGCTACATGACCTGCCCAATGTCACACAAATCCAACGCTGAACAGACAAAACAGTTGTTAACCGATTTCAAAGAATCACATGCTGGTTTAGGTAGGAAAGGACCTTTGGAGGTCTCCAGCCCAAACTCCTGCTCCAAGCTGGTCTGACCTGTTCAGTTGCTCAAGCCTGTCCCCAGGCAAGTTTCTAATAGCTCCAAGGATGGAGATGCCACCACTTCTCTGGGTTCCTTTTCCAGCGTTTGACCAACCTTAAACAATTCAGCCGCTGCCCTAGCCTTGTCCTCGTCTCCCTCCCTCCTTTTTGTACTGTAAGGACAGATTCCACTGCACACCATTTCATTGGTTTTGCTTACTTGAGGCTTTCTTCTTTCACCAGCAAGGCTGCTGCCCTAACAGCACCACCCTGCACAGCTAAATTGGCTCCTCTGGCTCCATCAGAAGCTGGGCTTACCTAAGAGTAGCTGTCCCACAAGGTTTCCTCTGCCTTTTCTGCGCCATCCTAGGAGTATTGTAACTGTAACATGTTGTCTTGATATTTTCACCATTTATACCACACACCTGATGTGGTGTAAATCAAATTAATACCCCAAACTAAACTGAGCAGAGCCAAGAAAATAGCTGGAATGAGTGCAAGCCAGCAGGTATTGAAGCAACAGAACAATTCCAGTCTGACCATGCATTTCCCTGTAAGAGGACAAAGGAAAAACTGCAGGAATACCAATGGAAAACCAACACTCCTGCTTATTTGCTCATTCTGGATCTCATGGCACTTATGGTCCAAATCTACTCCCTGCATTAGTTACAATCAAATTAACACAGACCGTGTGCTCTTATGAAGGAATTTAACAATGTTAAGCCACGAGAAACAGCCCTCCCTGCCTCCCTTCCCAATGAGATGCACCCTATTCAAAGGATTTCCTCAAATTATAATGCTTAGTGCCTCAGGCACCCATGTGGATTCAGTCCATCAAATACTTAGTCAAATTTAGGTAACGGAACATCAGACAGTTCTTCCCGCTACGGAAAAACACATCACATCGCAGATCTAGAAATCAGTATTTGTCACCTCCGTGTGCTGCTTTCAGAGCCAAACAATTCACACCTGCTCCTCCAGCACAGCAAAATAACCGGCTCTTTCAGTGTGACTCTGTCTTTATCACATCCAGATGCATTTCACCAAGCCATACAAAGAGTAATTCTCAAGCTAAGGCTCACAAGGATCTAAGTTAGATCCCAAGCGGTAAGAAAATCCGGCATTTGCTCCAAAGACACCTGGAGCAATCGACATCTCGTGGATCTTCACAGACGTAGCTGCACACCCAGAACGAGCAGCCAGGTGGTATAATCCTATCAAAGGGAGTTAAGTTGTTGCTGATCTCTTTCTGCCTAATGGAGACCTAATTCCTGAGCCTCTATCAATAGATCACTAATGCGGGGAAGATGCCAACGCCACACTGCTCACTGTACCGTGTCACAAGCCGGGCAGTGGCCACGGGGAGCTCAACATGTCCAACACCCACCATGCACAGAGAAGAGCCAGGGAGGGGGCAAGTCCACAGCTGTTCAAACCACACGACTTACCTCAAGTTTCTAAATACCTGAAACATTTTACTTTCCGTTAGCATACCTCCAAACAGCGACTGTGGGAGAGGCCCTGCAGTTACCGCACGTCATATCCCACCCTCACCTACTTGGTGGAACAGCACTCAATGCCACCTCCCTAAGGGCAAGCCTCTGCCTCTCCAAAGGGTCAGAAAAACACTGCCCATATTCCCACCCGGCGCCTCATGGAAAGACAAGCCAAAAGTAGTCCCGAGCTACTTTCAGCCTGGCTGTTCAGCACAGAGGCACCCCAGGCAGTTACCTTCTTGCGGCGGGAGCCCGTCTTGCTCATGCAGGACCTCTCCAGGGACAGGTACCCCCCGATCACTTCAATCTCATTCACTGTGGGGTAGCGCTTTTTATGGGACATCCCTGCTTGGGGCCCATCAGCATTCTCCACGGTTTTGCCTTTTCCTTTGCTCTCTTCCTCCTCCTCCTCTTCATCCCGCTGCAGCCTTCCGCTGGCATCAGTGAGAGTCTGCAGCCCCGAGGCAACAGGCTTCCTTTTGGGCACGACAGTGAAGGTGCTGCCTCCCCTCTGGTGAGGCGCAGAGTGTGGTCTGTAGAGGGGCACGGAGGAAAACTCCATCTCCAAGTCAGGGGTAGCTCCTCCAGACTGATCTGCCAAGCTCCCTGTCCTCGCAGATGAGCCAGCCCCGGGAGAAAGCTCCCCGCTGTCCGGCTCCACAATGTCATCAATGTAAGTCACAGGTACCAACGGATCCAGAGGCGCCGGTGGGGAAGCGACAGGCTCTTCCTGCTCCGGGGCGGAAGCCCTCGGAGGCTCCTTCAGTGCCTTCTTCTCCGAGGACGGTGGCGGTGGCCCCGGTCTTGTGCTCTCGGCAGAAGGCAGAGCCTGGCTGCCCTCCCGGCGGGGCACGAAGAGGAAGGAATTGCGCGAATTCAGGCGCAGCTTGGCCAGGGCCTGGGCCTGCAGGTCGTGGGCTGGGATGGCAGCCAAGTCAGGCTTGGGGGCTGGGTGGATTTCGAAGGAGCCCCCGGCCCGGGGGGCAGAGGCGGAGAGCGGCTGGATG